TATATATATATATATATATATATATATATATATATATATATATATATATATATATATATATGCAAAGAATCTTTTGATGGCATCCGAATCTGTGTACTTCTATAATATAATATATTTATGGATGAAGAGAATGGGAAAGAATCTAATGCTGCGCTCACCTATATCTCGTTAAAACTCCTTACATATAAAAACACAAAATATGATAACCTCCCATGTCTTATGAATTTTCCAAATGTTAAAAATGTTTTTTAAATATAATACGTCCCTGCCATCATTTGTGTTGGTAAAGCACCTTTTTAGTTTACCATAGCAAATAAATATATCTCGCTAAAACCGCTTATCAGACAAAATATTCGAAAAAATTTTATTTTGTATAAATAAAAACTTAAAATAAAATTATGAGTACTGTTTTAATATTCGTTTTATAATCTGTGTAATTTTTTTATGAATTTTAATGAATAGAGAAGTTTCATAAAAAACAAGATTATCTAAAAATTATTCAAATAAATCTCACTAATTATCTCATCTTTCATCTAGACAAATCAAAAGTAAAATTATCTTTCCCCCATCTAAAATAAAGTTATAGATTTTCATCTTATCTTCATCATGATGATTTTGAAATCATCCAAGGTAAATACTGGAAACAAGTGACATTTATATGCACTATGTATATTTTTGTGTACAGTGATTCTCAATTTTGACAGTTAGTGCTTTCAATTTTATGATGTCTAAATTATTTTGCGATCAATTATATGCGGATGTCCGCGAAAAATACGTGACCAATTGATCGATTTACGTGATCGTAAAAGATGACTCAATACTTACGATCGGTGTCGTAGCTCGATTGGAGCTTAAAGTGAGCGCAGTCCTTGCTCTGCTCGCAGTAACTATTGGAGACGAGGATTTCCTTGTTCGAGAACTTCAGGTCACCCACGATCGCAATCGGGTCGAACTTGGCATTCAGGACAATCACCACGCCGGTCTCGCCATCCTTTTCGTGGGTCAATTGCTGACGAGTGTATTTGAAGGACGAGCTTCTCGTGTTCTCGCCGATCTTCAAGTTACCATTGCCTTCGACGATGATCTTGCCGGCCTCATCGCGTCGTTTGTAGCTTGTACTGCGAAAGAATTGCAATCTTATCTCAGACATATTCCGAGTAATAACTAGTGTGAAATGAGCTGATCAAAAATCGCGCGAACAATGTGTTTCTTCTCCTCGGTTTATTTTCATTTTTCATTTCTGTGGGTCTACAGTACGCCGAGACGTTTTCCTTTTTCATTAAAAGGGCGGCGCTTATCGCGGCTTTTCACAACGACGGCTCGTGATGAATGACTTTCCTGATTTATTTTCTGACTTTTTCGCAATTCGATCGTGGCGATCTTGACGATGAGAGTAAAAGGAGCGTCGGTTAAAATGTGTACGTGGAGAAACCGCTGGAATTAATTTTAGCGGTCGAATCGATGAAATTACACAGCGAGGTGAAACGACGAACGGAGGAGAAGGCACCTGCCGTGTATCTCTGATCTCCTTTAAAAATAACCTCGTGCCCTTTCGTTAATTACAGGAGGACATCTTTACTCTTTGTTTTGTCGTCGCGTAGGCGATCGATCTTTTACTTCTTTTATGTACGCGCCAGAGCCATATCCATATATCGCTATCGTTAGAAAACGTCGTTCAGCATTACGATGGGGATATCGACCATACAACGGAGCGGTCGAACGTACGAGACCGCGAATGCCAAGAATGCCGCGAGCCAAGAATGTCGCAGCGAATCGAACAGACACACCCGTGTTCCGATTGCAAATTCATTCCCCCTTCCCCGCTCTCTTTCTCTCTCATGCCTAAGTGTCAATTATCTTTTTATCGAACGATCGTTATTCATTTCTAGTGGTAACCTAATTGCAGCTGTATTGAATTATTGCATCAGTAACAAGAAGCCGCGTATGAATTTCTTCCTCGCGTCGATGTAAAGTGATTGTTTCGTATACGTTTAATATTTGTGTTAAATGGGATCTTATTAATATATCTTAATAAAACATATTGAAAACTATGCCAATTTTTGCTAAAAATCTCAAAATAAAGTCACAATCTCAAAGTTTAGTCACTCCGCATTGAAGAATAAGTTGGCAAATAATGTGACATTTGTAACGTTGTTACATGAAGACAGTTTTATAGTAAAAATTAGTATAGAATTTTATTTATAGTATAAACTCTGAGATATAGTATACTATAACCCAGAGTAGAGATGGATAGCAGCTAAATAAAAAAAGAAAAAATATAGGAAAAAGTTACCAAAACTTGATGAAGAAAATAACAAAAAATGCGATAACTCATTATTTCTTGAATAACAATAAAGATATAGATAATTTTCAAGTAAGAAATGAATTATTATTTGGTTTCAATATCTACCAATACCGAAAATCTATAATTATATACAATATAGATTTTCAGTAAATATCATATTGCAATCTTTTTCTTAATAAACAATAAATAATAGCAAATAGTTACTTTCAAAATTACTTTTTCATGGAGAATAGCTATATGTGTATTATAATTAAATCCATAGTTGTACCGTAATAATTATTAGTGAAGATATAGACCTCGCGATAATCGATCGAGATATTTACAATAATAATTGAATGTTATAATAGTACAAACACATCTATGATAGTGGTTTTCCTTAACGAGGAAACAAATCTCCTGATAATTAATAGAAATAAATTATCTTATTGAGTACAGAATGCGTTATGAAATTCATCGAGGAAAAGTGTTATAATTTTTAATTATTTGATTGCATACGACAAAAAGAAGAAGCTAATTTACTTCGAAGCATAACTCAAGGAAGAAACTCACACGTTTCTGATACTACACTGAGAGAGAAAATATTTAAGCAATAAAAAGTATTTATTCGTCGGGCACTAATAACATATATATACGTATGTATTATTAAATATATTATTAAATATATTCCAGATTCTCGTTTCCGCAACGTTCCGTTCCATAAAACGGATTGAGATGAACATAACAGTTCCATATTGTTTTGCGATATTCATAATAAATCTTGAGATATTAATTAAAGAAGATTGACGAATGATCACGCGCGATATAATAGATGAGTACTACAGCTTTAGTGGCACCGTTTGCCATTGTATACTTACACATTAGGTCAAACTAAAAAAAGCCCTTTACTATTTTGCAAATGACTACATAGATTTTTAAATATTAATTAAAGGAGATTGTGCATTATCGCGCAAAATTATGTAATAATTTTCTTTCATTAATAACTAAAAACCTATGTAGTTATTTGCAAAATGATAAAGCTTTTTTGTTCAGTCTGTGACATTTATTCTAAGGTACAAATACGTGACAACATTGCCACTACAGCTCATCTATCATATCGCGCGTAATCATTCACCAATCTTCTTTAATTAATATCCCGAGATTTATTGTATAATATCGCAAAACAGTATCGAATTATATTCATTTTATTTCATTCTACGTTCCTACGAATGTTGCGGAGATGAATCTAGGACACCCTATATATAAAATATTAAGTAAATGATAACATATTTTTATCAGTTCGTGCTGTATAATAATATATATATTATTAAAAATATATAATACAACAATATATATAAATATATATATTTTCTTAAAACCTTAGCTTTTCATGAAAGCCATTGTTTATTCTATTTAAATAAAAGAATTTATATTTAAGTAAATACGTTATTAGTATGTTCCGAATAAATATCTTTTTATTTTTTTATATTTTGTTCTCTCAGTGTACAATTTTCGACATGGTTGTAGTGACAGAAGAAACAGTGATCTTAACATGTTGATTGTTGTGCTAATTCTCATTACACAAAAGTTCAATTGATAATTGAATTACTAAAGATATGGTAAATACATCATCTAAAAAAATATAATCTTACTCTTCGCGGAATCCTCTGAATCTTAGAGAATTTTATCCTTATATATGGTCTCAAGAAGATTCACGTAAAATTAAAAAGAAAATATTCTAAGCACAATATTTTTAAAATAAGAGGAAAGTATACTTAAAGTTAGAGGAATTTTGTCTGACGTAGATCAGTCTTTTCATACATATGCAGTGTAGTGTTTACCCGTGTAGAAATTTAGGTTATACGTTAAAAGTCTGTAGGAAACAAAAACAAATTTTGCAGAACGTAAATGCATCACATATAAGGAAATTAATCAAACAAGAAATGGAATGAGGATTTCCACAATGGAAATGAGGGACTTTTATTGGTTCATTTCATTATGTGTTATGCAAAAGTCTATGCTCCCCGTTTAATTTGACTTTGAAGGCTTCGTGCGGCGAAAGCACGAAACATGGTTCTGTGAGAGTAATTGTATATGTGTACACGCGAATACTGCAATATAACGACACACAACTACACTTACAGAACGGTGTTTCGTATTTCTCTCGCCGCGGAAGCAGCCTTATTCTGTAACTTCCTAACGACAATGTCACTAGCATGGCGTATCGTTGCGCAGTTTTTCTACTATGTATTATACTTGCGCAACGACAACGTAACGACATTATCGTCAAAAGTTACAGACTAGCTCTGAAGGTCTCCAAAGTAAAATCAGAATTTGCTCCTACAGATTCTTAAGCTTGCTAATATCGTCGAACTTGTTAGTCAGTAAAAAAACAATGTATTTAGCAAAAAACAAAATGTTTAGCAAAAAAATACTAGTGACTGAAAGTTGTCATACACTTTATATGTTTGCGTATTTCAATCCCATCCGGTCCATTTTATTCCTAGGGATGGTTTTTCAATGATAGTTTAAACTTAAACTCTGATAGATTTTAACTTAAACTCTGTTTAAACAAAACAAACGCATTGTTAGAATAGAGTTTAAACTTGAATCCAAGTTTAAATTGCTATTGAAAAACCGATCCTTAGACACGCTCAACTGTTGCTTGACTTCAAAGATTATACGATAGGCAATCATTTAAATGACTTTGACATTATCCTTGTAATTTAAGCTTATATATAATGTATGTTTATATTGTTTACGAAGCATAGCAACGATAACATTTTTGAGATTTATAAAAAATTATAAATTTTGACTTGGCAATTTTCAGTCTATCATATACGGTAGTGACATACATTACTTGTCGAATATCTCACATCGCGCGTAAAAAGGTTCAATAATTCTGATTCACGTAATTATATTCTTTTTAGGTTCTTTGTAGCAGAATTAGTGCATATTTTTACAACTTAAAAATAAACAGGTAGTTGTAACTTGTAAAAAAGAGAGAAAGAGAACTAGGGTGTGTGAGTGTGTGTGTGTATGTGTGTGTGTGTGTGCAGCTAATTCAGCTGTAAAGAATAGATTATTTGATTTAAAAGTAAAATTAATTAAAATAATATTTAATAGTTTTCTCATATTATGTCAAGTTAATAGTATTAATTTTCACAAAAAAATAAATATCCTTTCGATAAGTTTTCGCTTAGAATATGGGACTACAAGAAATATTATTTTATAACTAGAGTTCTTTCTGCCGGGTGATATAACTCGATATATATGTTTAATTCGAAAGAGATACATACACATCATATATCTCGTTTCATAAACTCTCCATTAGCCGTATAACTAATCTCTCCAACACAATTAATTATATTTTATACGTGACCCAATGCGATGTATGGGCGTGTATCTTATATCGATTGTTACCAGTCACTAGTAACCATCGCGGCATTGAACATGATATGATACGTAAGGAAAGCCGCTTGAAAATGTATCATATTTTACGACGGGTCCTTACCTTCCAGTCACGATGTTTTTACCATCGCTGGTGACGGTGATGACGATTCTCCTGCCAGTCTTAGCAGTGGGCTTGTTGGCAATCTCGGCGTGAACCTTACGATACTTGGATTTGTCACTGTCGAAATTAATGCTGATGATGAAATTGTCGACACTGTCCAATTTGTAATGCGCATCTGCGACGACGAAGCCCTTCGGTGTGTCAATTTTGTATTCACCTGAGAAGCAAACGACACAAATTCGCTCAAAATTATGTTTATTTTATTTCACACTGTAAACTAACTCTATACGAGTATATTAAAAACCGAAAGAACGAGAACCAGAAAAAGATAAAGATAGATTTATTATTCGCAAATAATTCTCAAGCGCAAGTGAGATAGCGGGAAGGAGAGAGCAAAAGCGAGACACTCAGGCAAAATAAAAAATTACAACGACATCGGAATAATATCAAAGTATCGAGGAAATGATTAAAACTCGCTTTTTACTCATGATTCGATTTTCTCATTTTGACGTCATCATGATTTCTTACTTAGAAGAAGGAAGAGAGAAGGGAGAGAGAAAGAAAGAGAAACAGATAAATAAAACAGACGTCTTTTTTCAGATGAAAAGAATTCGATTAAAGTTACCTGTATATTCGTGGTCACCGAGTTTTTCAATCTTGTACAGCAATTCGGTCTTTCCTGAGGGGCATGTGAAGATGATGTGAATCTTTGGAGATGTGCTGCTTTCCTGAATCTCACTCTTCGTCGTGTACTTAACATTGTCGGCGGTGACGGCCACGTCGGTCATTCTCGTGCGTCCATCCTTCGATCTCTTCAGAAATATATAAAGTAAACATTAGCCACCTAATTGGTAGATGTATCATGAATTCACGGCACTCTTGTTATGAACTTTTTCTCATTTCTAGTAGTAAACTTTAAAAAGTACATTTCTACGCAGTGAACTATTATAAATGACGTCACAGAGAGAGAGCAAAGGGGGAGGGTTTTGCTAAAGTTACTTCGAAGATATCTTGTTCTAAAATCAACAAAATCATGAAAAATAATTGCGTGAAGACGAAATGCAAATAATGATTTTTGGAGCCTTATAGATTTTCGATCAACACAAAAATAATAGACAAATGAAAGATGCAAAACTTGAATGTTGTAAATGAAGTTTAATTGCTTTTAATTATTGCTTCTAAAAGTACAACGGGAATGAAATAAGAATAAAATTATTATTAAATAAAAATAAGTAAGAGAACGATTAACATTAACAAATGATACTTTACCTCATGGTCCAACGAGAAATCGATATTGTGCATATGTTCATAGGGAGTGGTGGCCTTGCCGATCAGATGAACGGACGAGAAGTCGCGATTGAGCGTACAAGAATCGATAGTGATAGTTGTCTCTTTGCCATCGAAATTAACGATCGTTTTGCGGGTAATCTTTATTTTCTCGCCATTGGGTTCATAGTTGAAACTGTCGTGGTAGACAATTGGCGGCTGGTTATAGAGTGTCGTAATAATCTTTAATTCTCCATTATGGGCCTTTTCGGTGTCTATGATTCCATTAGCTTTGACGAAACCCTCGAACTTGATAGATTTGTCATCGTTGTAAATGAGATCAGACGACAATTGCATATCGAATTTCTCAGGTTGTTTTAGTAAGCTGCATGTAAAGTCTAACTTGATATTACGCAACTTCTCGGACGGCAGTATCAATTCTACGTTGCTGTTTATCTTGCAAGGCTGGTCATGATTGCCGGGAATGTAATTGTCGGTGCCCTGCGTTTAAACAATACATATTATTATGTATCTGATAAATATCAAACAAAATATATATTATTAGGTAGTAAATAATAAGAATGAGTAATATTGAATAAGAAATAAATGATACATCATAAATAATATTGAGAGCTGAATAATGTATAATAATATTACAGGTGCATATATATACACTTCGTACATTGAAAAAAATTGAGTAAAAAGAACTAAATCTCAGAATTACATAATTTCGTCACATAAATTGCAATGAAATTTCTATTTGAATAAAAATTTAATGAAAATCAACAATTTGATGTAGAAATTTAAATTACATAATGATGAAAGGTTAACGAAACTGAGGCGCGTAGCTATATATAGGATACAGATATTTCTTCAGTTATTAAAATGGTGACCCACACAACTGCACAATATAAATAATTTTATTTCTGATAGAAAACTAAACGATAAACAATGATCTGTCGAGTTAGGATTGCCTTATTGAACTAAAATTTGAGCTTACTTCACTCAAACAAGGGATCGAAAGAACGCGATAATTTTGTTGAAATAATTTGGATGGTTAATCTAATATTTTAGATCCTCCACGTTGTGGTGAAATGTTTGGTTCCGGGTTGATGTTGCGTCCTTTATGGATTTGTTTTCGAAAAACAAATTCATAAAGGATACGGTATCAAGCTGGAAACCAAATGAAATATCAGAGTGGTTAGTTCGCCATATGTAACACTAAAATTCAATTTGTTTAACTCAATTTGAGTTATCTATAGATCAATTTTTCTTTTATAATACATTAATGTTATCCCTCTAAAAATGTAATCCCTCTAAAAAGGAAAGTTATTCTCACTTACCTTCAAATGGAACTTGCCCACGGTGGCAGCCATGTATTCCGACATCTCACCGTTATCGAGTTCGCTTATTTTGTATTCTACTTTGAATGGTCCCGTCATACTTATCATGATTTCGTACAATTTCTTATAACCATTGATGCCAGGGAGGTTTTTGGAATGCATCTCTATCTCCCTGGTTTTGCCCATATAATCGGTAATCTGAAGTTTGCCATTGGAGTCGTCGTAAGAGAACGTCGTGAAGTCAAAATTTTTAGCGTCGGCGTCGTATATGATCTTTGTCGACTCGCCACCTTTAGTCTTGCAATCCTCCATCACAGTATTCATATGGATATCATACTTGGCGTTCTCGTTTTTGTGAGATGTGCGCTTAACTTTGTAAACCAGATAACGGCCGTTCGGTAGGGTAAGATCCATGTCGGCGATCAATTCACCTTCTTTGAACGTGCCGTCAAACTTGCCCTTGCCGTTCAGTTCGATCTTATAATTTAATATATCGAGCACATTCCTCGAGTCAATGGTATTCTTCTTCAGGTCGGTTACAGTACTCAATTTTATGCACTTGCTCGGGTCCTTTTCCGCGTCGAGTAGCAATTCGAAATTGCCGGTGTAAAGCGTACCAGCCACAGTGACGTCACCGGTACCTTTGATCTTTCGGTTGATTTTCGGTAGATCGATGTTGAGGTGAGCGTTACCCTTATCGCCCTGCATAGACATCTCGCCTTCAACGTTCAGATAGTTTTTCAGATTCAAGACCAAATTGCCGTACGGATTTGCACCCTTTTGCAATTTTAGCAGGAAATTGACGTACTTCATGTCGTTGACGGAGATGATCGCCCGAGAGTTGATGTTCGTGCTTTCGCCATTAAATGTACAGATGGCCTTGACCTTCTTGCCGTTCAGATTCAGGTTACTGTCCATTTCGAAGTCCAACTTGTTTTTACCATTGTTATACGTGACGGTCGCCTCGGCCTCGTACTTACCGCCCGGTGAGAGTTCAATCAAGTTCTTGTATTTGCTCTTGTGCGGATCGATGATCGTACGCTTGGACTCCAATTTTATGCTGTTTTGCAACAGCGTGGCCTCGAACTGGACTTCGTAGTCACCATGGACGACCATGTGTTGCTTAACCAACAGCTCTGTACCGAACTTGAATTTACCGTAGTTGAGGTCGACGTCGCCTTCGAACAATGTGGGCATAATCTTGCCGTTCACGTCGAATACCAAATTTAGAGCCGGGTATGACATCTTGCTGGATCCACCCAATATGTAGGTCCCTGGGTCCGGATTGTAGTATATGTGTTGATTGAGGCTGAAACGATTTACTTGGGACTTGAGATCCGGACCGTGAATGAAGATCAGTTTGCTTTGTATATCATGCTGATTCTTTTGGTACTCTAATGTAAAGTCGAAGCCGATATTAGGATCTCTCGATGGTACCGCTGATAGACCAAATGTGAAGTGCTGATCTGCCAATTTCTTGGTGTCCATTTTTAGGGCAATCGACTCATCACCATAATTGAAATTCATGTCCAAATTAGCAGCTTTCTTCGCGCACAGGACATAGCCATCGATACCGACGATCTTGCGGCTGTCCGCCATTAGAGCCACTTTATCGAATATGTATTTTTTGCCGCCATCTTGATCTACCAGCTCCACTACGCCGTCGACATTGTATTGTTGACTACCGTGGCGAATTTTACCTCCAGATAGTTTTTCGATGTGCTCCGGCACTTTGTACTCTAAGATGGGTTTGTACTTAGGACCGTTAGACAAGAGACCGACGCGTCCATAATATTCTTGCTGATCATTGTTCACCTTGATCGTAAGCGTATGCTCCTCGGGAACGTCCTTCAGTACCGCCTCGGCGGATACCTTCTTGAAGGGAGAATCGAAAACCATTTTAGCGTACTTATGAGGTTCCAGACCAGCTTCAGCGGTTAGGGACAAGCGTCTTTCGGTTTTGCTGTTGGGTGTCTCTACTGTAAGCTCGAAAGATCGAGATTTGGGTGACTTGGTGTCGTAGAAGATCTTGAAGCGATAATAGCGGAAGTCTTTTTTGTGCAAAGTCGCGCTGAATTTCGACGGGCCGTTCAACGGGAAGAGTGCCCGTTTCTGCATCGCCTCGACGCTGTCGTACGGGAATTCCACGTGACCGCAAACGGACATACCCATAAGAGTAGAGAATTGGTCAAAGCAGTCATTGTATATCTTGCCTTTACTGAACTTAGCAGGCTCGTACGAGTTATCTTTCTTTCCGGAGCTCATGAGAACCTCGCTGTTCAGCAGTATCGTCTCTTCCTTGGACGAAGGTGTGCCGATGGAGAAGTCGATACCCTTACCGTCCAACATTTTCACTTTGATGTCAGTCGCTGTGTTAGTGTACAGCGTCCCGACCACCTTCATACCGGATTCTACGTCGAATGCTTTCACTGCCATGGTACCGGCTACTCGCACAGAAGCGCTCGGGTCGAAACCAAAGTAGAACTCGGCGTTCTGCGGATTCTCCATGATTGCCTTAACGTCTATCTTGCCGTATGTCTTTAAGAGCACCACGCTAGTACCGAGTAGATTGAGGGTCATTGGACCGAGATTCGTTGGATAAACAAGCTCCATGTCCAAGAACTGCATATGATTCTTGAAATTGGAGTCCAACTTTTTCAGATTGTTTATTTCCGCGTCGGCCTTATCAAATATTTTGTCGATCAGCTGCTTATCAGTAAGATCCTTAAAGTGTCCGTTGCTAGTCAAATAGTACATCTCGACGCCAAACATTTTGACGGAAAGATCTATGTCGAGCTCTTGATCTACCTCGTTGTTCCTTAGTTTCACGCTTTTCGCGAACTTGTCGAGCTCGCTTTGTTTGATTTCACGCTTGCCGCGCAGCTTATTCATCTTTTCCTTGACATATTCAGTAATATCTGTCGCGTTTTTCTCGACTATATCGTCGATATCGTCTTGCCTGAAGAAGCCCTTCGGCCCAAAGTAACGCTCGATCATTCTATCGAGATTTTCTGTACGTGTGTTCAGCTCCAAGAAATTGTAGGATCGTCCAAACACCTCGGTGGTCAGATTCAGATTCACCGATCGAGGAACAAAGCTGTTTTGACTATAGATGACGTTAGTTTCCATGGTCGAACCGGCTCCGAAACCACCTACATGGTATGACAGCTCTTCGTTGAAGGAAAACTTGCGGAAATCCCTTGGGAATTTGGTGCGCGGTTTGATCTGCCCGAGATGGTACTTTGCATCGGCTTTAGTCGGATCGGCAGAGGCTCTCAGATTATTTAGGTGACTCTGAATAAAAGAGCCGACTTGATTCACTTCCTCTTTATCCAACATGTCTTTGAGAGCGCTGGCAAAGTGCTGACAGGGGCACGCGACCATAGACAAATAAGACTTGATTCTGATTTCGCTGTCTTCGCTGCGATCGGCCATAACCTTGAGAAGTATGTTCTTCCATTTCATGGTGCATCGTGTTGGCAGAGCTTCAATCGCAGCCACCCTCACACGATTGCGGACGTTCTTATCCTCAACGATATTGGCCAATTTCACGAGGGTGGCATCGTCAAGATATCTGGTGTTACCCAATGCCTTCAAGGCCGAGACTATGACATTTTCTTGCTCGCGGGTTTTCGCCTTACCGTTACCGACTTTCTCGCGGATTTTGTGAACCGCCTGCTTCACCTCAGCCACGTTCTCGCATGGATGTTGTTGGCAATACTTGCCGATTACTTGACCAACACCGAGATAGCCGAGACGTGGCAAATCCGGCTGATCCAAGAGGGTCGTCACCGCGGTTATCGACGGTAGGTGCACGTGATTGACGAGGGCGAGATTAGCGTAGAATAGGAGAGCTTGTACGTTGTTGAGCTCGTGGCTCTTCAGCAGATCCACGGCCACCTCGGCAGCCTCACCGGTTCCGGTGTGGAAGAGAGCGTCCAACAGAATCTTCTTGTCCAGCACCTTGTCGAAGCCGGCGCCAGCTCTTACTTTTTGGTAGATCGCGAGGATGTCGTTTTTGTTGCTGACGCGGAGCACTCGGATGAGCTCGGCGAATTTTTCCGCTGCGTGTTGCTGTATCGTGCCGGCCTCTTCAGCGCTAGCGGCCTTCAACGCTATGCCAATATTATCGGGTGACGATTTAATGACGGGATGCGGTGCATCGAAGATCAGAGACTTCGGTTGACTGACTGCAGCCTTCGGACTGTCGCCTTTTTCGTTCTTCAGTGTCAACGTGGTCTGCACGACCGTTTTCGCGCCGATATCACCATTGCTAAACGGTTTCAGTTTGTAGGTCTCGACAGAGATCGCCTTGTTCAGGATGCCGCGTTTGAAGCGTTGTTCGATTGTCTGATGCGACGACAGTAACGGCGCGGAATGAATGTCGGAATTGTGGTCGACTCCAGACACGGGACTTTGTTGGATGTTCTCGCGATAGCTACAGCGGGCCAGATTTCTATCCTTATGTACGACCAAGGAATCACCGTCCTTGTGGAAGGTAAAATCGGTCGGACAGCCACCGAATACGTCGACCTGGAAAACAAGTGGCATGTGACACGCGAAAATTGTAGGTATAATGGGATAAATGATTAATAGGAAACGGGATTAATAGGAGACAAGAGAAGCAGTTGGTGCGATATGTACCTCGTGATGGCTCGTGGAGCCAGAATCTTGGAAGACGGCAGTCTGGAACAAAGAAGCGACTGCTCTCTTGATGTTGAGAGATGCCTGCGAGTCACCGGCTTCGGCGCACACCTCTGTATCGATGTGGCCATCGTGGTAGTTAAACTGCAACGCGTACTGTTCCACATCTGACAGCGCTATTGGCTGAATAAAAGAAAAAGAAATAAATAATTTACTTAAAATTTGCTACAAATCGACTATAAAAGGTAGGCTAAGGCAACGCAACTGATCATCGGTCGCGAATGCTTAAGTGAGATGCCTGGTGCGATCAGCTAATCGATATATATATATAAATACTATGGTATGAGTTATATATATATATATATATATATATATATATATATATATATATATATATAATACTCATACCATAGTATTTATATATATAATACTCATACCATAGTATTTATATATATTATGTTTTTAACTTCCGTTAATAATCAAGCGCTATAGCAAAAAAAGAAACGATTCTTCGATACATCCATTGATATTTTAATCGATCTTTATGGTTATGTGCAAAACGTATATTAAGCTCTAGCACCTTTATTTATTATTAACAAGTTGAAATATTTTCTGTCGAGGTATTCACGATTAAGTGAATTCTACAGATCGAAATTTCTGTATATTTCGGTGATACGATGCAAATAACGTGAGCCAATGTATATTAAATTCGCCCGAGAGATAGATTTATTTGGAAACTTTTTTGTGGAAGGAGAGAGAGAGAGGAGTTACTTGATGATATTGAATTAGTAATTTTTTTCCATATTCTCTGTTACAGAGACATACTATAATTTTACGAGTCTCATTAATTTATGCACAAAACGTAAATAATTGCACTTGATGGATTAAATATGTGATCGATGGGGAGATGATAAATCTGTCTGACGAATGATACAAGTTAGAAAATGTACACTACCGTCCAGAAGTTTAGAAGCAGTTATATTTTTGTGTGAAATAAAAGATCGTTTGTAAATATTATGAAAACAACTAGTTATAATGAATGTTTATTGACATTGACGACTATTTTCAGAACACTAACTCTTTGTGCCTATGTCTAATAAATTCTTGCTACTATCTACTTGCGGTTGAACACTTACTTTGTTTTGGTCACATTCGAATCACAGAAATATGATGTTTACCCTCAATTCCGATATCTAACCATTGTATTATAGTTATAATTTCTGAGTTCAGTGCGTGTTATCAGTCGGTTGATTTAATTTTTTTTATTTAATATAATGTAATTATAGGCACAGAAAATTGGTGTTCTAACCTAAAATAGTCATCAATGTCAATAATTCATTATAACCGGTTGCTTTCTTAATATTTATAAACAATCTTTTATTTCACACGAAAATACGACTGCTTCCAAACTTTTGGACGGTAGTGTATGCAGGAACTTTATTGTAATTTTTCCTATCTAAACTTTTAATTGAGCTTTGAAACAACCCATGTAAATTAACGTGATTCACAAATGTTGAAACCTCGTATTATATTTCCATCATAACAAGTTTTTCTATATATTTCCTCCCTTATGTATTAATTTTCTTATAAGGATTGCACAGTATGCGAATTTATTATTAGGTGCAATAACGTTAAATTATTATATCATATATCTGTAACTCAATTTATATATACGTCTTCTTCAATTTTTTTCGAAACTTCTTGTCATTGGAAATAGACTAAAACATTTGATATATATCTACAAGTACTGGTTTCTGTATTTAAAACATTGTTTTCAATATGTAATACTTTAATATTGATTTTTTGCAAATATTATTGGTACTTAGACTAACTCATATAACACAATGTTCAAAATCGGAACATAAGATGCCTCTAAGACATCTTTAAGACGTCTTATGTCTCGATTTTAGACGTTGTGTGGGAACTTTTTGATATCACTTCTGTAAGAAATACAAATTTAAATACACGCACACAACGATATTTTACTTTAATGTTTCAATTTTATTTGAGCAAGGGAGCAATTGATCCTATTTCTTTTCCTAATAATTTTATATATCGTATACTTACGGCTCCATTGATTTGTACGCCCTTCAATCGTATCTGCCGAATACAATCAGGTTTCACGGACAATTCAACGGTTCCTTTCAGTTTCAAAGTAGCTTCATTCTGAGATTCGGGGACTGACGTTACGGATGAACCTTCCAAATCGTAAACGTACGTGTGTCCTTCTTGATAGGCTTTACCTCCGTGTACTGAAATAGATTATATACGCGAAGATGTAGCTATTAAATCGGTGTCATGAAATTGCGAAACAATTAAATCGAGTCTAACATACAACCACTCGATTTACTTTTTAAGTCAACTTTTCTCTTTCAAAAAGTAATTAAAACAATTGATTATTGAATATTAATTCCTAACTAACTTTTATCGAGGCAAATATTAACTTCCATCACAAAGTGACTTTTCTATAGTAATTATAAATCGCTATTCTTTTCTGTAGTTTATTTTATTTGATCCAGAAAAAATTTACCTCTTCGTACAAAAAAGCATTCTCGCATATAGAGATGAATTAACATAAACAAGAAAAAAATTGCATATTAATAGAAGATTGATAAATTTGCTTGACATATTAAAAAATCGGTATTGGATTTGAAAAGTCATTAGCTAGTATCCTTAATCAATTAATAGATTTAAACTTTTTATATAGTGTTTTATGCTGAGAATAAAGGAGATCAGGTACTTTTTGAGACACTATTCTTAAAATATAAATCTCCGAGAATGTCAATAAGAGAACAATGTGAATATAATAGTTCATCGACATACTTACATCCATGGCAGCCGACGTTTGTACATTTACCTGCAAATGAAAATAGGAAGTTAAATATGAAATCAAATTGTGGCGAAACGTGAAGTCGAATGTTGAATTAAATTGTTATAACATTCTAACACGAAAACTTTCCAAAGATATTCTGCTATTAATATTTATCATTAACAATCACTCGCTGAAGTAGCGTGTAAAATGGCTTGAATTTATATATTTTTATGCAATGTTTCGTGGATGCTTTCGTACATAATTTGTTAATACAGTTTCTGGATTGTATCGATAACGCGGAGGAATTCACGAAGCGAAGAAAGAGATGACTGGTCGTAATCTATTATGCCCGATGCTGATTATTGTGAGAAAAAATATATTTATGCATCGAGCGAAATGAACTCGATACTTAGGGTCGTGTATTGATAACGATGCCGTTAATCATGACTCTCTTGACCCTGGACCATGGAACTTTCATTTCTGTTCGATAGTGTCTCGACATACTGTAAATCTAACTGGTTACTTTGGTTGAATCTTTTTTTACACGTTTTTTACCGTTTTCAATTACGTCAATTAATATATTTAAATGTATTAAACTTATTATAATTTATTATAATATAATTTATTATAAACTTGTAATTGTAATTTATGTCTTTTAAATGTGTTAAATGATCTGATTTAAAACTGCAAGAAACGTGTAAAGGAGTTTCAATCAAATTATACGTTTGCATTTAAAAATAACTTATTTAGATTTGCAGTGTATCCGTGAACTGGTGAGATTTAACGATTCACTATAATTTCGTACTTTTCCAACGTTTAAATCAACACAAACAATGTAATTATTTTTCTCAAGAGATATAAAAGAAGATGAAATAATCGTTATATGTGAACAATAATGATATTTGTATTATGCTTCTTTTAATCCTGCCTTTTCATTCTTTCATGAGTTACATACATTAAACTAAAAAGAAAGGAAAAAAATATCGTATGAAGATTTTAATAATTTGCCTTAGTTTATCATATTTAATCTTCGCACATGACTTAATCCGATATTGAATATTATATGAAATATAATATTATTACAAATTATACGAAATATTACAGAGAGAGAGAATTAGTAAAGAGCTTAATTATTAGCGTAGTTAATTTTTCAATTATTAAAGCAATTATGAAAGTATTCGATGTATTTAATATTAATACTTGTCGACGCTCGGCAATAGGCTCTTATTTCTGGTCATAAATTTTATTTTATCCCGTTTACATTCGATAAAATAACATACACTGCAAAATTTATTATCAAAGAAAAATATTCAGATATAACGGAAAATAAATATAATCACTGACACAGCACGGCGAAGTTTTAAATGTTTTCGATGAAATATAGATTACATAATTTTACGAAAAAGTAAAAATTAATTAACATATGAGATCAACACAAATTATTAGTTGCGTAGTATTTGTTTCGCGGAAGTCTATTTTACAGGTCAATAGAAAAAGATTGCTTGAATCAATAGTCAGGATGTTATATTGGGCGTTGCAACGGAAATTTATAGTTTGAACATTAACGTCAATCTGATTGCACAAAAAATATCTTTCATAAATCATTTGATAATCATATCAGTATACTAATAAATAAGAAATATCGATGTTAAAAGTATCAGCATTTAATAATATCACGGACGTTTATTAAGACATATATCGAATTTTTGGACAATATTCCAAATATCGCAATAAAAATCTAAATTACATCAAATTAAGTTACGTTATTAAATTTTATCAATAATAGATTTTATTTTCCGTCACATTAATTGCTTTAGTTATTTCGAAAAAATCTTAAAACTTTGTTCTTTAAGATTAATGCAATTTAACACGTTGAAATCGAGCTTGAATTTTTCCTCACAAATATACAATCTATATCATCGTTAGCCATTAAGAGGAAAACATAATTATAGATATTTCGTTAATGATAGATTACGAAGCAGTTACCAGTTACAAATTATTAAGTGTTACTTAATATAAAAACAAACAGCCGTTAAAATCTTTGTATTATGTCGAGTTATATAATTATTTGTTCACCGACGAGGTTGATTGATTATAGTCGATCAAATACCACGAAAAATAATTTCTCTCTGACGAAGCGAGTAAGTAGTAAAACTCAAAACCGAAGCAACGTCTGCATATTATTAACGTCTGCATATAGCAAATATAAAAAACATGATAATTAGCATTTTTCGTTCAGTACAATTTCAGTACAATCGGACTTGTACCTAAAAAACGTCAACAAAGATGATCTTCGCGTTGAGCGTCTTTTCAACTCTTAAAGTGAATAGAGGAGTTATTAGTATGTGTCTGAGCACTTTTAAGGACTTTTTATTTCTCTTCACCTCAAAATTTCTAAAGTTTTCATATGTACTTCAAAGAAAAGTTAGTACAGCAAGGAGATTTGAGAATCAGTAACGACAAAATTCGTCAGTTACTGTCTGAATAGCAACTGGAGAAAATCGATCCTGGACGCGAGTGATCTCCCTGTTCACTTAACATATACTTTCTACATAAGTAAGTGAAAATTCGTTTTTCTTTATATTGCGATATATTTTTCTTTATATGTTTCGATAATTTTTTCGAGTTATTGTAATATATTTATTTTTAGTATTTCTAAATTTTCATAAGCCCATTAAACTGGACATACACAAGAACGATTAATAAAGTTTCTGTGGATGTAAAGGAAAAAGATCCAAACACACAAGTAACTGGTCTAACTGAGTCTAACTGGGTTATCACTTTTTTGTTTTTTATATATCTGAAAATATTTAATTATTTAAGTTTTTAATTATTAATGATAATTAATTCATTATTAATTATTAATTTAAATATTTAAAATATTTTATTATTTAAATATTTAAATTTATGATAGGTGAATATATAATTTTCATATTTCTTTTTTAAATTATAATTTCTCACAGTAAGATATATCATAATTATTATATATTTGCCCTATATAATTAGTACACGGAAAAAATACAGTAATAAAAATTACGTTAAAATTATATTTTTTTATAACAGTTTCTATATGAAGTTGAACTACATTGCGATTATAATATAAATTATTACAAATATTTGACGATCGACCTAGTATATAATATAAAAACAATTTTCTCCGTGTACAAAAACACTTGTGAATAAACACAGAATAATATATGAATTCAAACAAAATTTAAAAAATAAAAATCTCATATAATAGTTTATATATTGTCCTTAGTATGTGATAATTAAATAAAAAGTTAAAATATCTCTCTAAGTAAATCATAAAATAATTCGTCATTATATAATCAGTCTTTTTCTTTATAATTTGTCACTTTATAATATATCAATCTCTTATTCTTTTAGTGCGTTTTATTTTAAAAATAGTTAAAAGTTACAACAGATTTTTTTTCTAAACCACGAGAAACAGAAATAGAGAAAATCAGATTTTAAAGGAATCAAAATTACTTACTCGGATATTTTAATGTTAAGGTAAAGAAATATATTTAATTTTATTTAATTTCTCATAATATTTACTAACAAAAACAGTATATAATTATTTTGTAATCTTGTGCTCATAATCATTGTATATCTACAGAGAGCGCATTAAACACTATAACCACAAGTTTCCCTTTATAACATCAAAGACATTTTTATTACAAACTAAATAACTTGCAACATTATTTCTTTCAAATTTTCTCCTTTCAATTAATAAATCTAGGTCACTGTGATTTATTAATTTATATTAGAACCATCTATAGTAGCTACGTCATGGATGACATAAGATTATATTAGCGAACACAAAGTATTTTTAATTAAATTAATTAGGCTCTATACTACCCTTATATTTTATATCGCTCATAAACAATTACATCAATAATATGTACATTTTTACATTAAAACATGAAATATACTTACTTACTTACACATCATAACTTTAAAATCGGGACATAAACGTCTAAAAGACGTCGTAATATAAGAAGTTTCCGAGATGTCTTTAAAACTTCTTTAAGATGTCTTATGTCAATTTTAGATGTTGTATAGGTAGATATGCAAATGTTCAGATGGCTAATAGAGCAGTAGCTCCGATAATTGTAAGAAAGGAAGAAAAGCAACTTTTCAGATATCGAAAAACAGATAATTTTGTATAACTTCTAAATTGGCCCGAAAGCAATTTTACAATCAAGCTTCGTTATTAATGCTACGCCTTGAAAACATTACTCAAATGCTTCTCAGTAGAGTGTAACGCCTTACAGAGTCAAAAAAACTGCTAACCTGTATTTGGGTCACGACTCATATGAGTCGTGAAATATATATTTGAATCTTTATCTCTGTATTTCTTTTCAGATTTCTTGTGCTTCTTCTTGTGTTTATTACTTTTTTCTTACTTTTGTATAATGTATAAAAGTATTTTCTCTTATTTTATTTACCCTTATTTTTCTTACACAAAAAACACCCCTTTTCACGCACCGAAATAATTTGAATTTTTTAAAGACCCCTAAATAAATTATTTTAATTAATTATTTGTTACAACCTTAAATATAGAATATTTCTTTGTTATTGTTAAGAAAAATGGCAAAAATTATGATTTTTTAAATGAAGTAGCTTTTTCGTAGATTCTTGTTAAAAAACAATTACAAATTATGTACCATTTAATTTTTTATTAGTAATCCCATAATCTATTAGTTAAAGCTTCAAAGAAGCTACATGAATTTTTTAACAATTTTAGATTGACGAGAAAAATGTTTCGGACATAAATAACACTTTTATTCATTAGTAAAGTATTCAAAATATTTATTCAGTGTAAGGTTTAAAAATGTGTAAGTATGTGAAGAATTGCCATTGGAAAACCTGAGATTATTATCGTAGTCGTGTCGATAGCGAACACGCGACCCGACTTTCCCTATTTGCGAAGGAGACGGAGAAATTGTCTATTTTTTCTCGGAAGGAAAAAATAGTGTCACCAAAGACGAGAATATGCGGTGGCTGAGAATACACGGAGACAAGGCACTTTATTTAAGCGC